TTTTTTTTTTTTGAATGTCCAGAGGACCAGATTTAACTTTTTTAGACTTAAAAAGATGTTGCTTCAGCTGTGACTTAAAAAACTCAAAATTTAGTCATTTTGACGAGAGGAAGGCTGGTCCACAGTTTGAGTCCCAGGACAGCAAACACTAAATCCCCCGGTGTTTTCAGTCTGAAACAGAACCACAAGAAGGCCTCGATCTGAAGAAGTTCAACATTTTTTGAAGTAAGCAGGAAGCCAACTGTTTATGGCTTTATAAACCAAAAGGAGGACTTTGAGTCCTGCTGAATTTGATCAGGAGTTGGTATCAAAACATGAAAATTGCTGATACGAGAGTGAAACAGAATCTGTTGAGTCTAACAACAGAATCTCAGACTAGTTATTAACAAGAAACAGATTCTTTGCTTAACCGAGACTTAAGATCTAAACACTACAATCTACATTAATTACAATTTCAGTGCTTTCAAGCCAACAAGGGAGTATATTATCAAAATTATGTTGTTTGTCAGAGATAACAATATATATATTTATTTGTTTGCAGATGATTTTGTATGATCACTTTGAGCCAAAGGACTGAAAGATATGATCAGGAACTGGATTTGGGACATAAATCAAACATCCATTTTATTGTGAATAGTTTAAAGAACATTTGATGACTTTTGGCTGTGTTTGATAAATCAGACTTCAAGGACAGATAAAGCAGGGTATCATCAGCATAATAATGATAAAAACACACAATGTTTGTGCCAGACGTTCCCATCTCTGCCTTTCTTTATCATGTTTTTCTTCCTGTTGACCCAGGTGTGTTTTTGCTGGTTCTGCTCTTATCTGCGGGCTGCTGTTGTCTCCTGCGGCCCGCCACCCACGCCCCACTTCTCTTCCGACCAGACACTAACCTTCAGACTCTGCTGGCGCTGCGCAGCAACCTCAGCGGACAGGGAATCTCCTGCCCCATGTGCTCAGGTAAAAAAAAAAACTGCATCAGAGAAGTTTAACCTCGCATATCAAACAAATATGCTGAAAGGATGTTTTATCCTGTAGGCGTGTTCATGGAAAAACCCCACCTGTTGTTCGGCCACTCTTCCTCATCAGGTTTTAGGTTTTCTACACATCAGCACAGCCCAAGCACGACAAGCTCAACCTTTTCTAAGAAAATGCTAAAAGTAAACCCTAACACCAACCAGACAGGTAATCAGCTCCTGGGAATCCTCTTTATTTAAGGCACATGTACAGGTGCTGGTCATAAAATTAGAATATCATGAAAAAGTAGATTTATTTCAGTAATTCCATTCAAAAAGTGAAACTTGTATATTATATTCATTCATTATACACAGACTGATATATTTCAAATGTTTATTTCTTTTAATGTTGATGATTATAACTGACAACTAAAGAAAACTCCAAATTCAGTATCTCAGAAAATTAGAATATTACTTAAGACCCATTTAAAAAAAATATAATTTTTAGAAATATTGGCCAACTGAAAAGTACAAACGTGAAAAGTATGAGCATGTACAGCATCAATATTTAGTTGTTGCTCCTTTTTCCTGGATTACTGCAGCAATGCAATGTGTCATGGAGTCGATCAGTCTGTGGCACTGCTCAGGTGTTGTGAGAGCCCAGGTTGCTCTGATAGTGGCCTTCAGCTCTTCTGAATTGTTGGGTCTGGTGTATCACATTTTCCTCTTCACAATACGCCATAGATTTTCTTTGGGGTTAAGGTCAGGCGAGTTTGCTGGCCAATTAAGAACAGGATACCATGGTCCTTAAACCAGGTACTGGTAGCTTTGGCACTGTGTGCATGTGCCAAGTCCTGTTGGAAAATGAAATCTGCATCTCCATAAAGTTGGTCAGCAGCATGAAGCATGAAGTCTCTAAAACTTCCTGGTAGATGGCTGTGTTGACCTTGGACCTCAGAAAACACAGTGGACCAACACCAGCAGATGACATGGCACCCCAAACCATCACTGACTGTGGAAACTTGACACTGGACCTCAAGCTACATGGATTCTGTGCCTCTCCTCTCTTCCTCCAAACTCTGGGACCTTGATTTCCCAAAGAAATGCAAAATTTAACTTTCATCAGAGAACATAACTTTGGACCACTCAGCAGCAGTCCCAGGCAAGAAGCTTCTGACGCAGTCTCTTGTTCAAGAGTGGTTTGACACAAGGAATGTGACAGATGAACCCCATGCCTTGCATACATCTGTGTGTGGTGGTTCTTGAAGCACTGACTCCAGCTGCAGCTCACTCTTTGTGAATCTCCCTCACATTTTGGAATGGGTTTTGTTTCACAATCCTCTCCAGGGTGCAGTTATCCCTACTGCCTGTACACTTTTTTCTACCCCATTGTTTCCCTCCCTTCGCCTCTCTATTAATTTGCTTGGACACAGAGTTCTGTGAACAGCCAGTCTCTTTAGCAATGATTGTGTCTTGCCTTCCTTGTGCAAGGTGTCATTGATCGTATTTTGGACAACTGTCAAGTCAGCAGTCTTCCCCATGATTGTGTAGCCTACAGAACTAGACTGAGACCATTTAAAGGCCTTTGCAGATGTTTTAAGTTAATTAGCTGATTATAGTGTGGCACCAGGTGCCTTCAATATTGAACCTTTTCACAATATTCTAATTTTCTGAGATACTCAATTTAGGGTTTTCATTAGTTGTCAGTTATAATCATCAACATTAAAAGAAATAAACATTTAAAATATATCAGTCTGTGTGTAATGAATGAATATAATATACAAGTTTCACTTTTTTAATGGAATTACTGAAATAAATAAACTTTTTCATGATATTCTAATTTTATGACCAGCACCTGTAATGACATTTTCTCATTCCATTTGTTTCCTAGGCCCCTTGCTGACAGTGTACATATCAAAGCTCCACCAAGGAGGATCCACAACAATTTACCGTTTCTCGCTCAACACCAGCGTCCCATCGCCTTGGAAAATGTGCAGCCCAGAGCACGAGGAGGTGTCATCGTTCCAGGTTAGGGTGCATGAGAAGTCAGCTTGATGAGTTTATGTTTAATTACATCTGTGACTGCTCGTATCTAATCATTTCATCTAAATAGGCTTTTAGTCAGCCCTACAACAATTACAGCCGCAGAATGACCGTGTGTGTTTCCCGTGTGTACCGACCGTACCCCAGCTGGATGATCACATTTGGCTCATGTGAACTTCACCATGGCTGGAATCCAGAGTTTTCTTTTTATGTAGCAGTGTCTCCTCAACAGAACAGCAGGTAAAATAACAATTAAAGCATTTTGAGCTCAAGTATAGATTCTAGTGTGGTTTTAGTGGCAATTTTTCTCATTTTGCCTCTGCTATCTCCACTTAGGAGGTTGTACTTTGCTCAGTGCCACCTGAGACCTCATCCCAGTAAAGTGTGTGTCAAAACGCCTGGCTGTGGCTTCGGTTCGGAGCCTGCTGGACCTTCGCAGGGAAACTTTTACATCCCTTTTCCTAGCAGTGAGCAAGCAAGTGCCTCTGTCTGTAAGCATCAACATAATAGATGGTTTGTTGGTCCGTAAGGAAGACTGGTTTCACACTGTATGTCACCCGTTTTCCTTTAAGAACACATTTGAGTCTGTTGCAGAGGGAGATCACTGCTATATGACAGCTTTTTCTTAGTGTGGCACTCTGTGAACCCGCTGGAGGATTTGTTTTTCCCACAGTCCCTCCAGTTGTGCAGATATTTTTATACTTTGTGAACAGACGCAGTTGAGAGGCTTTCCTCTTGTTCTATTTTCAAAGATCCCTCAGCTGCTGCCAAAACAAAAGCATCCAAAACGTCTGGCTTCAACCCGTGCAGCGGCGGCGTATGTGGCCGGCCAGCTGTGCGCCCTCTGGTCGACACTGGGGCCATGGTTTTTCTTGTGTTTGGGATCCTGGGAGTCAACCGAACTGCAAACAAGGAAAACCATGTGATTGGAGATATGGTGAGAGTCACATCTGTGTCATTTATGTTCTAATAATCAAGATACTGAACTGCACTTTGCTCCTGGTGGTGTGAGAATGACAACATGATGTCAACTTGTGTTTGCAAGTGCTTTCACTTACATTAAAATGGCTTCCCAATGAAAACTCATTGACTAAAGCATAAGACATAGGTTATGAACAGCCATGCAATAAAACTGGAATCAGTTGTAGAATAAAAATGTGTGAGGTGCATCATTATGTAAAGTACAGCTGTACAGCAGCAAGACTGGTTATAGTTCTCAGTAGATTATTAAAGCTTACAGAGAGCCGTAAAGATGTGATGGCAGAGTCAAATGTTCTGTTTTGACATTTATTCTCTAAAGGGCAGCATCATACTGGATCCAGACTTTGATGTGTTCAAAGAAATGGGGAATCTCTGCAAAATCTGCAAAGCTGTTGGAGCAAACAGAAAACTTGTGAAGCCAGGAGGCGCTCAGTGCTTGCCTTCAGGTAACGCTCATTTTGTTAATGAAAACAAGTGTTTTCTATAGCAAATAAAATTGCTGCTAATGAAAACCTTTCTATTTTTATAAAAACCCATATCTTCAGGAAATCAAGCCTCTTTCAAATGTAAACTGTGTTTAGAGGTGGTTTATGCAAAAAAAAAAAAAAAAAAAAAAAGTGAAAATGAGGTAAAGTAGCACTTGAATGAGGAAACATACTAAATGTACAAATTTTTATATCAAACAAACTATTTTAAGTAGGCAAATTATCTGATCTGAAAATTTGAAATGTATGGAAAATATATATATACCATATTTTTTGGACTATAAGGCACACTTAAAATCCTTTAATTTGACAGTGAGCCTTATAATTAGGTGCACCTTATGTATGAATTCTGGTTGTGCTTACTGACCTCGAACCGATTTTATGTGGTTATTGTGAGTGAGTTGAATAAAGTTTGACTTATCTGACTGTTTTGTTTTGCGCCTTATAGTCCGGTGTGCCTTATAGTTTGAAAAATACGGTACATATAGTCTGCTATTATCCTAAATCAATCTCATACAACTCTAAACTGCAATAAGATCCAAAAATCAATAACAGATACAAATTCCAACACAATTCGAGCAAACACAAAGGAAAAGTTGCTGACAGGTCAATTATTTTTGTTTCCTTCTCCTTAGGCAACAAGTTGTCCTCGGTTTTGCCTCTGCTTCATCCTGAGTGCCACTCTCTGCCAGAACCCAACCTGCTCCCCGGGCAGCTCTCCCATGGAGCGGTGGGAATGCACGGTGGGAAGGTCCGCTGGCTCTCCATGGCCTTTGAATCTGTGAGAGCTTTTCTCTTTAAGCTTGTCCTCCAAGTGTTTTTAAAGCTGTCCAGCCCAGGCGCACGCTAATGCTCAACTTGTCGTTTCCAAAGACTACATACAAGGGGAAGTCCTCCTTTCAGACCTACACTGATTTCCTTCAGTGGGAGAACTTCATCCAGGAGCAACTCGCCAGCCTTCCGCAGTCTTCTACTCTCCGGCGAGGTTTCCAGACCTGTGAGCACTGGAAGCAGATCTTCATGGAAATCATAGGCAAGTGAAAGATTTTTCCACAGATCTTTTTTTAATCTTAGCTAATAAAGTAAGGTTTTTCATGTATTAATCAGTGAAAATCTGATGCTTGTAGGAGTGGAGAGTGCCCTCTGGAGTCTCCTCCTTTCTCTGGCCATCTGTGTGGCAGCTGTGTCTGTGTTCACTGCACATCCTCTGCTGCTGCTGCCGGTGCTCATAACTATAATAGGTAAAAGAAGCAGCGAGACAACTGGTTTGGAAGCATCATGAGGAGTCAGATTAAGGTGTTTGTCTTAATAGGAGTGATCTGTCTGGTTGTGGCTGTCATGTATTGGCTGGGATGGGAGATGGGAGCAGTGGAGGCGATTTCTCTGTCGATACTCGTTGGATCTTCAGTGGATTACTGTCTGCACCTGGTGGAGGGCTACCTGCTGGCTGGGATGATCGTTACCTCTTCGCCTGATCAAAACTATGTATGTCTGGATGTAAATTTGCCTCACAAAAAATAAAAATAAAAATTAGGGATGCACGATATTTGATTTTTGGACGATATCCGATATGCCGATATGTTAAAACTTATTTGGCCAATAATCAATACCAATACCGATAATTCTTTTCCTAGATCTTCTTACAGAGACTACATAGCTTTCTCTGCTGTGGAATTAAAATACAGTAGTGCCTCGCTACTTCGAGGGTCATTTTTCGCGGACTCACCCTATCGCGGGTTTTCGAATTAAGATCGGACATGACACACAGTGGCTGATTGATGGATGAGCTGCACGATCGGCATGGATTTTTAATTTAAAATAAATTATTTAAAATTATTTAGTAACTGTGTGCAGCCCACAGCTGTGGGAGAAACTTCCTCCTGCAGCTGATCAACTGATCTTATCTCTGCAGATCAGCTGATCAGCGGATTTACATGCAGTGTGGAGAAGTGGCATGGCTGAAAGGGCAGCCGGAGGCAGGGAGTTGAAATCATGACATTCTGTGCACTTTTAGAGCGTTTAGTGTTTAGAAACATTGTTTAGAATATTGCAAGAGTGTGGGAAGGGTTTAAAACACACACAGACACACATGTATATATATATCTATCTATATCTATCTATATATATATATATATATATATATATATATATATA